ATAAAATGATACTCGTGAAGAGTGTGCTTCTTAGCTCAAGTAGATACATGAGACTAAATGGGCAGCTTCTGTCTGGAGGTAGGATGAGAAGGCAGAGAGGGTTAGGATCTGGTTGAATGGACATGGGAAATCAGGGGTGGAAAGGAGGAGTGTGCTGTCACAATATAGGGAGAGCAATTAGGGTCACACAACAAAGTATATAAATTTTTGTATAAGAGACTAACTTGAAATGTAAACTTTTACTTAAACTACAATATACAAAAAAAAGTAAAAGAAAAAATAAAGGTTACTCCTTACATTGAACTTAAAAAAAAAAATCCTACTCGAAAGACTACATAGGAGCCTTAGGGGACAGTGAATTTATATTAATGGGGGAGGAACAACTCAGAAAAGGAGGGTGAGAATGGTTGCACTACTCCAAGAATATAGTCAATGTCACTAAATGGTACATGTAGAAATTGTAGAATTGGTGTATGTTTTACTGTGTATATTCTTAACAACAACAAAACAAATAAAACTTAAAAAAAAATCCTAATATATCACAGGCCAATGCTTTTATAAAATACGATAAAAATGAATTACTAGAAAAGTAAAAAGGAGAAGCTTTGGTGGCAAAGTGGTTAAGTGCCTGGCTGCTAACCCTTTGTGGGAGAAAGATGTGGCAGTCCGCTTCTGTAAAGATTATAACCTTAAAGGGTAGATCTAGTCTGTCGCTCTGCTGGCGTAGTGGTTAAGAGCTCAGCCACTAACCAAAAGGTCGGCAGTTCAAATCCACCAGCCGCTCCTTGGAAACCATATAGGGCAGTTCTACTCTGTCCCATAGGGTCACTAGGAGTCGGAACCGACAATGGCACCTAACAACAACATGAATCGGAATAGACTTGATGGTTATGTTTTTTTGTTTTTAAGAAAAGTGGAATTAAAGATACCTAGCCACATACTATATGATTCCATTAATACGGGAAGTCCAGAATAGAGAAATCTATCGAGACAGAAAGCAGATTAGTGGTTGTTTAGGGCTAGGAGGATGAGGGGATGGGAGGATGGACAGCTTAAGAATACAGAGTGTTTCCTCTTGAGGTGATGAAAAATGACTGTTGTGATTGGTGGCACACGTCTGTCAATATACTAAACAATCACTGAATTGTATACTTTAAATGGGTGAATAATATGGCATATGAATTATATCTCAATAAAGCTATTAAAAAAAGACAAATAAGGTTATAATTTTTATTATTAGATGCAACTGCTATAAAAGTTTCTAAACACTCTCAATTCCTGTACTTATCACACACTAATACAGTATACAGACCAGCCCTCTGTGGACCATACTTCAAATAGCACTGATATAGATACATATATTTTAACATGATTTAACATTAAAACTTTTAAATAAGGAGACTAAATAACACCAAACTTTTCTTTCTCTAAGCAAAGAAAATGAAAAATTTTCAAATTCCCATAAAATTCTAAATATTACTCTGGGAGGAAACAGAGAAACTACTTCTAAATCCACAGAAACAATACAAGATAAATTAGGAGTAAAAGGAAAGCTATTCAGACAATTCTAAAAGCTCTAATTTACCTCTCACAAGAAGGGTTATTATTCTGAGCTGCTTTATTCCAACATGTATGTGTTGAACAGGTTTCTACAAGAATAACTGGACTTTACAAATATTTGAGATGGCTGGTTTTATATGGGCATGTTATAGTTTCTGTAGGAAAAAATGTAACTACCCCAAGTGTAGGAAACAGTTGTGAACCTGTTCAGATAATAAAAGTAATCACCAAAGGAAAACAAGCAGACTTTCTTTCTTCTGAGTCCTAACTTTAAAGGTTACTGTAAATCTGTAGCAGTCCTCTGCAGTCAGTCCTCTGACTGCTGCCCCAGCCCCATATTAAGGCATTACACTGTTCCAAGGGAGACTCTTCAGGAAGAGTGAAAATAAATCACCATTTCCTAACTTCACCTGATTGTTTCCTTAGAATAAATTCCTAGAAATGGAACTGCTAGGTCAAAAGATAACTAAAGAATGTGACGCAAACTGCCAAACTGCTCTCCAGAAAGATTACACCAATTTATACTCCCAATACTGGCTTTTTAAAAATCACTACATCAAGTTAGGTTGAAGGAGGTCTCTCCAGGCCAGTTAAATAAATTACAGTTCATACTGACCTGGAATGGAACACTATGCATGCAACCCTTAAAAATAATGGAATTACAGTACTGAAGTAAAAAAATAAAAAAATTACTGGGATCTATCCAAACACATTCAAAGGAGCCCTGGTGTGCAGTGGTTAAGTGTTCAGCTGCTAATAGAAAGTTCGGTGGTTCAAACCCACCAGCTGCTCCACAAGAGAAAGATGTGGCAGTCCGCTTCCCTTGGAAACTCTATGGGACAGTTCTGCTCTGTCCTGTAGGGTTGCTATGAGTCGGAATCAACTCAATGGCAATGGCGGGTCTCCGTATATACTCAGGCAGAAAGTTGTCCACTATAAATTAAGTGAAAAGAACAAACTGCAGAATAGTATGTACTGCATGATTCAATTTATGTTAAAAAAAAAAAAAAAAAGTGTATCTAGCTAGGTAAATACAAATATTCTTGCATTTGATTAAAAAAATTTGGATATCCAAAAAATGCACCGGTGGGAGGCAGTCTCAGGGGTCAGAGGAAGAAGTCATTTTATATCCTTTTTTTTAAAAAACCATAATGGCATATTTACTTCCATAATTAAAAAGGACAATAAACAAATTTCTTCCATTTGTACAAAACAGAATAAGTAGATGAGATGTGTGATCAGTGCCGGTCAGGATGTGGAACAACAGGAATAATTACATACAATGCTGAGGGGAATATAAACTGGCACAACTTTGAAAACAATTAGGCATTACTGACTAACGCTGAGATGCACAAACTCTATGATCCAGCAGTCCCTCTCCCAGATGATCAAGAAACTCTTCCTCATGTGCCCTCAAACCTGCTGAGTGATCTGCAACAAGACAAGGGGCTTGCTCCTGAATGAAAATCAACTACTTCACTAATAAGCACTCTGCTTAATTCAGCTGCCTTTTTTTTTTTTTTTTTTAAATTTGAAAGCAAGACTCTCCTGATAAGGAAGTAATGCATTGATTTACATTCTGGTTCAAGCTTATCTTGTTGTAGATTGCCACTGTGAGTAGTATTGCGCTACAAGAAGTACATACAAATGTTCACAGCAACACCTCTATAATAGCAAAAAACTGGCAACAGCCCAACTGTCCGTCAACAGAATAAATAAATAAATTAGGTATATTCATATTTTTTATACCAGAGTGAAAATAACTCAATTACAGCTACACATAAAAATATGGGTAAGCCTAGGAACCACACTGAGAGAAAACAAAATGCGTCAAAGAAGGAAAAAGAAAAGTTTCTATTTACATAAAAGTTCAACTACATCCAAACTAAACAAAAATACTGTTTACAGCTATAAACAAAAATAATAAAAACTAAAGAAAAGAGAACGATAAACACAATGTTCCAATTAGTGGCTACCTCTGAGAGGAGGGAACTTCAAAGGTTACGATGACATTCTTTTTTTTAACCTGCGTAGTGGGTACACAAGTGTACACTGTTTTTGTTATTTTCAATACCTTATACACACTCCATTTCTTTAAATGTCCAATTCAATGCTTAATAAAAAAAATTTTAATTGAATGAAATCACTATCCCTCCTCCCTCACCTCATCTACATGGTTGGCCCCAGCGTACCTGATAGCTGGGTGTCACAGAGTACTGAATCCCCGTGGCTGACTGCATGGTGTCAGACACCGCTTCATACACGGGAGGGGCAGGGGCAAGCACCCGGTGCTGGTGAGGAAAAGCCTCCGTGCTGCCAGGGATCCGACGCTGCTGGGCCGCATACACCGGTGACTCCTGGTCATCCAAACGTCGCTTCATTCTGCACTCATGCTCAGGGATGCACTACAAAACCTGCAGGAGCCAAAAACAATGGCATCCAAATCAATTCCCACTCCAGTATATCGGTACAACTTAGGACCAGTCACTCAAGCATAAGCTCCACTCCCAGACCGATTATCTACTTCATCTTAGATATAATCACAGAGCAGTTCAAGTATATAAACAAACATACAGAGTGAACAGGTTATCATAATTGAAAAAAACAAAATTTTAAATAACACTTTTAATAAATTTGGTACTACAGAATTGAAAAATAACCTCCAATTTAAACACATACAATCTTTTTTTTTTTTAGTCTCTAGTTTTCTCCCCAAATGCTATCCTAATATTCATTACATATTCACATGCTACAAAAATATTCAAGCACTTCTTCCTAACTTCTCTCAACACCCAGTACTGTGATTGTGGTCTAATTTTAAAAGCCTCGATTGTTTCAACAATTAAATGGTAGGGTGGAAAGAGCACTGCACCAGAAGGAAGAGGACAACGGCTCTAGACTTGACACCTTAAGAAACTGTACATTTTTCAATAAATTCCTCATTCTGTGTGAGCTTCCCTTTCCCCAACTATATAATAAGAAAGATGGAATAGGTAGTCTCTTAGGTTTCTTCTGGCTCTAACACTCTTCAACACCAAGGAGATTTCAGGATACCCTAGCTTGAATAATCCCCTCTCTGTGGAGGACTTTCCTTCCTGAAAGACACAAAAAGTCTAATAAAACTATGGTCAAGAATCAACTTGGGTCTTTCAGAACTCTTCCAACGCCAGTATCACTGACACAAGCATGATGCACCATTAGTAAGAAAGAACGCTCCAGCCACCCAAAGACTAAATGAGGCTAAGCCTTACCACTTCCCCAGTCACAAATCTCTTAAATAAGACACCACTACTGTGGTAAAAAGATAAAGAATATAGGAACAGTGGGAGATCTAAACCTAACAAGCCACCACCTCATCTGAAGTACAGCCTTTTTGTAAATGAAAAAAAAACCTTTCACCTAATTTCTAAGTCCACCTACTCCATGGGAGTATACAAACTCCAAGGGAGAAGAAGTCCTCATAGGGACTCCCCAAGGCTGCTTCACCTCTTCTGTTTTCACCGTCTTCCTCAGCCTGCCTGCTACTCTAATCCCGAACCTTGAAATAAGGTGTTCTCAGGTTTTTCTCACATTTCACAAACCTAAGTTTGTTAAACCCTGTAGTTAGACCCTGACACAGCAACACAACCAGTTACTTTGCAAGTCGGCCATTTTTAGTATCTTTTTGTAAACCTCAAGCCACAAATATGCTCTTTCTATTGCTACAACTTTAGATCAAAGGACTAAGTTTCCCAAGTCTGTATGTGATACGACGTTGAGCCTGGTTAACTAGAGTCGAAAACACTGCTGACAGCTGCTGAGGAGAAATAATTTAAAATGTCTGAACTGGTTATGTTTTCGTAGGCTTTTCTAGTATCCAGTAGCATATGCAGCTTAATATTTCTAAACTTCTCAGATACTATAAGAGATTGGAAATATAGAT